CGGGGCGGAGCGGGGCGGGCCGCGCGCTCCGGCGGAGCGGGAGGCTGCGGGCGGCAGCGCCGCGCGCGGGACTGCAGCCCCATGGAGAAGTACAGAGGTGAGGCGGGCGCCGCGCGGGTCCGTGTCCCGCGGCGCGGCCGCCCAGGGCTGCCCGGGGTCCCGGCAGGGGCTGCTCTGGCCCCGCGCGCGAGTGGGGCGGCTGGAGGGCAGGGTTCGCTCTGCCCGCGAGTGGGGCGGCTGCGGGGTGGCCCCGTCCCCGTGCGGGGCGAGGGCAGCTCCGTGGGGTCCCACGGCTGCTGCGCGGTCCCTGGTCCCCTCACCGGGCAGGGGGAAGCGGAGGGAAAAGCCTCGCTTGGGGCAGCGGGGAGCTGAGCCCTTTCTCGCCGTTTCGCTTTCCGCAGCCGCCGAGTTTCGCTGACGCCTCCGCTGTTTTCCTCCGCAGACTCCCGGCCGAGCGGGCAGGGCCGGTGGCGGCTCCCGCGGCTCCCGGGGTGGCGCCTCCCGCGAGCCGGGGCTGGGGCAGCGCGCGGCCCCGGGCGCTGCTCCGGCTCTGCCGCAGCTCCCTGCACCTGCGGGGCACGACGGCCCCTGCGCTGCCTCCTGCGGGGATCTGACCCTCCTGGGGCAGAGTCTGAGCACCCAGGAGAGCAGCTCAGTGCTAGACCAGGGTGGTTCTGCCTGACCCGCTTCGGAGCCGTTATTCCCCATCTGCAGGACTGGGTTACAAGTGAGGAGATGTGCTCAAGTTACGCGGCTCCTGTTTGCTCTTAAAGTCCTAAGGCATCGTTTTCTTAGGACTATTTTTTGATTATGCTATGAGAGTAATTTAGTATTCAGATACAATCATTACTGCCTTGCCTGTTGCATTTTGATCTCTTCCTTACAGTTGATGCTCTACAGGCCAGATAACATCATTCGCAGCCCAGTAGTGACATACTGTTAAAGATAACGTTATAAATCAGATATTGTGCAGTCTGTCATTTATTTGTTCGTTAATTCTGGCAGGATGTGTGTGATCCCATTCAGTTCCAGCAGCGCAGCAGTGGCTTCATTGAGACGCAGCTATGTTTGGGGTATTGTCTTCTCCGGCGGGCGCGTTGCACCCTCGGGGCAGCGAGCGCAGGCGGCTGCGGCGGCACCCACGTTGCGGGTGCGTGCGGTGATGAGGAGCCCGGGCACCCCAGGGCGATTGCAGAGCCCATGGGGGGAGGGTGAGGGTTCCTGGTGTGGAGGAAGCAGGTGGTGGGGAGGGCTGGGCTAGGTGGAGTGGGAGTTGGGAAGCCTTGGGAGCAGGTGGAGAAAGCAATTAAGGTTTTATTCCTAGTCGAGCACTGGGGAGCTGTGGGTATTCCCAGTGATGACCCTTAAGGCATGGTGAGGAGTTCCTGCTGGTGTGGGAGGCTTTGTCCCTGGAGAGGTTGAACTTTTGAGCAGCAAAGTCCTGGTGTGGCAGAGGTAGATGGACCCAAGGAGTGCTGCCCAGGGATATATTTACCCCAGGCTGCTACCTGGGCCTTGCAAGGGGAGGTGAGGTGACTCCCCTCTAGCCTCAAGGGTGAAGTAGCTGTGGGAAGGCTGTGGAGAGCTGGAGGAGGGCACAGGCAAGGTGGACTGCAGGGTGGCATCCTCTCTCTCGTTCTTCCTGTGTATTTTGCATTTAAATAGGAGTTTGATGCAGCTGCCCCATTTTGTACACATAGGTACAAAAGCTGTGCTCTGTGGCTCCTTGTCTGCTCCTTGACCCTGCGTGTTGGATCAGTTGGCTTGGTGCATCCATGACCCATCACCCTCGTGTTGAGTCCTCTCAGACCAGCCCTTGTCACTGTGGTCGCTGGTGATTCTCCTGTGACTCCACAAGTGCTAAGATGTCAAGTGATATGAACCTTGAGGGATTAAGATCATTCTTGTATTTTTAATATTAGAACTCGATAATGGAAATGAAAGACTTATTGCAGCCCAGTTATCCAAAGAAGATAGTTGACATTCTTGTTTTATTCTTAAGCAAAGACACAAACATTGCATTTCTCCTCATCTGGGAGTCTCTGAAGGTTCTGAAGGGCATTGCTGGTATTTGCAGTGCTCCTTGTAAGGTTTTAGAGAAAAGTTGTCTCAACAGAAACAGAGTTCAGTGCAGATGAAGATTAAAATAGCAACTTGGTAGAAAGATAAGGTGCTGGCTTGCTCATTCTCATGTTTTAATGGGCTGGGGGAAAGATGTGGGGATCTAGCTGGAAGTTTGGGTTTGTGCACAAGGTTTGTGTACGTATGTTTTAGCAAGTTCTTGCAAATACAAGGGCTATGCTTGGGATTAAACAGCAGAGCAGAGACAGGAATACAAGACAACAGCTCTGAAACAATCTGAGGCCCCTTTTTAAAAACTGGCTAATCTGCAGTTGCTTCATACTAACGCGATCTAGGCTGTCCATAAACATAGGTGGTTTCTCCTAGGCAGGGCATCAACACAGCTGTTGTGTTTTGTTAATTGGAGTAATTGGCACCTGGAGAGAACAGGGCACGTATTGCCCTGTAGACCAAATCCAGTACAAAATGAGATGAAAATGAACACGCTGAGCAGCTCTCTAGCAGGTGCAATGACTTGTGCTTGTGTAAGGGTGGCCCTGCTGGGCTTTGGAGTGGGGAACAGACTCTGTTGGGGAGATAGCAGCAGGAGGGCACAGCTTACTCAGCACAGACTGAGGAGATGAAGCCTTTCTCTGTGACTGGAACCACAGCCCACTTCAATTACACACTCCCCGTGTCCACCTGCCAAGGCCTCCTCCCCGCTCTCGCCCGTGCAGCGTGGCTGCCTCTTGCTGCGCTTGCTCCGAGAACAGGGCACCCAGGGGTGCTCGCAGGGGGTGCGCGCCGCCCCGAGCGAGGCGTGCGCCCTGCAAATGCTCACAAGACCATTTCCATCAACACCAGTGACTGCCTGTGTGTGTGTTCAGCTGCCTGGCCTGGGGATGCTGCTTTTGCTGCCTTCCAGAATGGCTGCTGAGACTTGCTGCTGTTGCTGGGACTAAGGCGCGGGAATCTGTAGGCAGTGACAGTGGGTGCAGCACGGGGTCCTCTCGCTGCTCCTCATAACGCCTAGTGTTGGTCATTGTGCAGAACTGCCAGCAAAGTGCTCCTCGAGCTCTGAGCTGCTGGGCGCCTGCTGGAGGCAGCGCTTGAGCCCTGGGGCTCTGCAAGGCTTCCCGCAACCCCTCTGTGCGGCTGTCCCTCCTCTGCTCGCGCTGTGCAGCTGGGCACGTGAATGAGTCTGGTGTTCAGGGGCTCGTGCTGAGCACCTAGAGCCAGTGCCTTCCTTATACATCCATCCTACCTGGATAAACTAGATGCTGTTCTCTTCAGAGCTCCTTTGGAGTTTCTGAAAAGGCAGGAGTACATCAGAGGCAGGGAAGTGTGTCTTCAGGCAGTAGCAGAGAGCCCGGAGCCACGGGAAACAGCTCAGAGGACCAAACCTCAACCAGGTGCACCTGTAGTAAAGATGCAGATTTTCCTCTATGCAGCTGCCTGCCCGAAGCCCAGATCCAGACCTAGGAACCCAAACGGGATTCCTGGAGTCGCACAGCCAGTTGGATAACTCATGTGCTGTTGTTTACTTGTCTAGGGAGTTGTGTCATCTACAGACAAGCCCAGTCAGTGCTACCAGCCCACTCTGTCATTCCAGTGGGATTGACGTGGCCTGGCCCTGAGGAGCTGCAGGTAGAAGTGACAGCGCTGCTGGTTTCCGGGCTGGAACCACTTGGTTCTGGCTTGGGAGTGAAGGAATAAATCCCACAGAAGGGATAAGCACCCTGCTAGTAACCAGGAGAAAGCATTTCCATTGCAACAGCTCTGCTGCAATTGGAAGGAGAGTGGTTAAGCTTGAAGTTCTTGCTCTGAGGTATTGCAGGTAGTAAAGATTTGCAGGAGCTCAAGGAATGACTGTATAAGTTCACAAAAAAAAACGTTTTGAACTTCAGATGCTTCTTTGTAACTCAAGTTCTTTAAAACAATAAATTTTAAAAATAAATAAAGGACATGCTGAGATTCACCTGACCCCAGAACCCAGAGCTCTAAGAGAGAAAGTTTGAAATGTTAACAGAAATTGCTAGTACTGGTAAAACGAGCCCTTTCTGTGTCCCTCAGCCACTCCTCGGGTGCCCAGCAGCTGGTTTCTTCAAGCTCTGCCATGGTGCTGTTTGTGCTTCGTTGCAGAGGTCGAGCCCAGCTGCGCTCACCTGCTGCCTCCTCGCTGTAAAACTGAGCGGCTTTCCTGCTTCTGCAGCTTCTGCTTCCCCCGGGGCCGAGGGAAAAATGACAAGGGTGATGATTGGAGTGGGGTAGCTGGTGGGTCGGGATCACCGGGGGAAGAGCTGTTGCTAAAGGAGAAGTGAGATTTGTAAATATTCCTGGCCAGGGACTGACTTGGTGCCCCTGCAGGCTGGGACGCGGCCGTGGAGCTCGGCTGTGGCAATGTGGGACCCAGGGTGCAGCAGGATCCTGCCCAGCGGAGGCCCTGGGAACAGCACTGGTTTGGTCTAAAGTTCAAAACACCAGGGTCAGCACCCACTAAAATACTTTTTTCTTTCTTTTCTTTCTTTTTCTCTTTTTCCACTGACCTATTGCCTTCTCTGTGGGCAAGATTCCATAGAAAGCCTGTCTGATGATGGCTTGGTGTATGGCAACATTGTCTTCAGTTATAAACAGCCCTGTCTGGAAGTAAATATCTCAGAATTATGGGATCAGACTGAAACTCCCACATAGCATGCAGATTTGGCTGCTTGGGATTTAATAAAGCCTGCATTTTTTTCCCCCTTTGGGTAGACTGTGCTGTGTCTTGCACAGAGCTTTTTTTCCTGATACGTCTCCCCCTCGCCACCACCTCTGGATTGCTTAGGTTAAGAACATAGTGGAGGGCTTATGAAAAGCCTGGGAAATAGAGATCCGCCAGCCTTAGCTGCCAGTTCAGCCTGTGGGCTTCTTCCTTCAGTGTGTGTGGGAACTGGAATCGCTTCCTGAGATACCCGGGAGCAGCAGCAGCCCCCAGCACAGCGGTGATGCACGTGTTTTTCCAAGTGCTCTGCTGACTTAGGAGGCTAAATCTTTTTA